CGCCGCCGAAAACCCTTCAGAGGTCTTAACCCATGACCTGACGCGTGACAGCCTCCTGTTCCAGCCTCTCCTCCCCTCCCCTCTGCGCTCCAGTAACAGCACACAGCCTCTGCGCCCAGCCTCCTCCCTGTGACCAGTCAGTGCCCTCTGCCAGGAATGGCCCTTGCTGGCCGACCCCCTCCTCAAGGCCTCGGCATCCCCTCCTCCAGGAGGCCCTCCCCGAGCCTCCTGGACCCTGCCTGCACCATACTCTGTGCATCCGTGATGCCTGTCACAGGGATCCCTTATCATCCATTCACCACACCGAATGAGAATCATCAGTTTCCACGTCTCAGTTGCACATTCGCCAGTGAGACCCTTGAGGGCAGGGATGTCCCGTTCGTCTCTGAATCCCAGACCCCGGCCCGGCACCTGGCACGGAGGACAGGCCCGACTAAGGGTTGGCGGGCGAATGCAGAAGGGAAACTTGAAGGAAGTGAGAGCCAGAAATGGCCGAGAGGGCAGGGAGGGCAAGCCTGGCAGGAGGCGCCGCCAGAGCAAATGTGTGGGAAGTAGAAAAGCGAGAACTTCCCTTGATTGCACTCCCACGACTGCCCGCCAGCCATTGTGCATGAGCTTTGTTTGCACATTTTGTCTCTTTCAGTTCTTGCAACAACAGATCGGGGAAACTGGCATCAGAGAACCAAAGCAACCTGCCCAAGGTCACACAGCCGGGCCTGGAGCGGAATCCAGGATTGTCTGGCCTGAAAACCTGTGCCCTCCCTGCTGAGCCACACGGTTCTCCTGGGGATAGGACCTTCTGGGGACGGACCGGGAGTGGGCCCCGCCAAGCCTCTGCCTAGCTGAGCTCCAGAACCAGCTGCCCACGCTCAGGCCAACAGCTTCCTCCTCCCAGCCGGACCCGAGGCTCGGAGGCCAGACAAGGCTCTGTCTCTTCCTTCTTCCCCGGACTTTGGGGGTCTCTGATAGACGTGCCCACACCCCCCCCCCCGCCACCACCACCAGGGTGGGGCTCCTATGCATCCTGGTACTGCCTAGGGCGCCTGGGGGAATGCAGGGGGCTCTGCGATGCTGTCTGGGTTCTGCAGAATCTGTCTCCCTCATCGCACTTGGCCCAGGCTGATATTAAGATTCATCTGCATTCCCCGCGCACCCGCCTGGCAGATGGTGGGGGAGGAGGCTGGGTGCGTGCTGGGGGCTGCAGCCAGAGACCAAGCTAGGCTCGGAGGGCCACAAGAGCAGGGTGCCCACCCACCGTGCTCCCTTGGCCCAGCCCCGGACTGGGACCACTCCAACCACCGGGGTACCTCCTCACCCTCACAACCTCCAAGGGGTGCTAAGGACTTGACCTTTGCTCTTTCTAAGGACTGAAGGGGTCCTGGAGTTCCGGGAAGGAAACACGGATGTGCGTGGGACCACGGAGGATGGGCCCCACTTTGGGGAATTCCAGATAAGGGTCCTCCTTGCCCTGGGGGCTTGCAGAGGTCGGAGAAAAGCAAGGACCCCATGGGATAGGAGCACCCTGTCCTGGTGGCTCCCTGGGTCACAGGGAGGGTAAGTAGTGAAGACCGCAGGCACAGCTTTCAAGGAAACCTTGCCCGCCTCGCCCTTCAGCTTCTCAGGAGGCTGCCGCCTGACCCCAGCCCCAGAATTCAGCCTGGCCCCCGGTGACCTTTTCAGCCCAGGGCTCTGGCCAAAGTTTCCCATCACATTAATCGGACGGCGCGGGGGTGGGGGTGGGGGTGGGGTAGTGGTGATCCCCCCCCCCCCCCCCCGAGTAAAGTAGAAGAGGAAAGAAACTGACGTTATAACACAAGGAGTACGGGCTAGACACCCAGAAGAACTTCCCTCGGCACAGAAGCAAGTCTGGCAGAGAGAAAGTCACTTTCCGCTTCGGGATAGGCCACTCATTACTGACGTTCTCTCTGGCTGTTGGCATGGGTTTGGAAAAAATAACCTTTCCAAAGTCCAGGTCTCCTGGGGTTCAGGACAGGGCAGCAGATTCCCAGTGCCCGCTGCGGGGGTGGGGGTGCGGGGGGGGGGGGCACGGGCGCCCTGCCAGAGGGAGGGATGGAAAGGGTAGTGTCCCTAGCCTCGGGCCACCACCCTCTCCCCTCCTCGCCCAGACTTCCTCCGCCCCCGCGTCCGGCCGCCTTCATCCTAGGTCCCCCCGCTGCGGGCCGGCAGGGGAGGAGTTAACTCCGGAGGTACCGGCTGGGCTCACCGTACCTGCCGCCGCCGCCGCCGCCGCCGCCGCCGGTGGGAGGGACGAGGAAGCGCGAGCCGCCTGGGCGCCAGGAGCGCTCCAGTCTGGCGGGGTGCTGCGCGGGGAGCGGGCGGCGGGGCCCGGCGCGGCCAGGGGCGTCCGCCAGGGGGCGCGCCGCGACGGGGCGGGAGGGGCCGTCTGGTCTGGGGAATTAGCGCCAGGGACGGGCGCGCGCGCGGGTCCCCAGCACATCTGGGCGAGAGCGGCGCCGCTGGACCGCGGGGGGCGCCGAGCGCAGATCTGGAGCGGCAGAGGCACCGCGCGGCTGGGGCCCTTCGAGGCGCGCGGGGCGCCCATCTGGGACCTCGAGAGGGGGCCGCGCCGCGCGCAGCCGGGCCGGGGGAGGGGGGCGGCGGCGGCCGCACAGCTGGACCGGAGGGGGCGGGGTCGGTCCCGGGCGGCCGGCAGAGGGGAGGGCCGCGAGCCGCCGGGGACTGGAGCATGGGACGGCGCGCCTGAAGGAGCAGGGGCGAGGCAGGGGCCTGGGCGCCCGGCAGGAAAAGAGGAGAGACAGGGACCCGAGAGCAGAGGAGGAAGATGCAACTGACTCGCTGCTGCTTCGTGTTCCTAGTGCAGGGCAGCCTCTATCTGGTGAGTGGCCCGCGGGGAGCTGCGCGGAGGGGCGGGGGCCCGGAGGACGGGGGAGAGCCCGGAAACTTTCTCCCTTCCCCACCCCCCGACATCGCCGGGATGGAGGGGAAGCCCGGAGGCCGGGGGTGGGGGGTGGAGGGGGAGAGGGCGGGTCCGAGGACGGAGACTGGACCGCAAGGGTTAATAGGGGCGGGGAGAGGGTGCTCGGCTGGCCCACCCACTCGGCCGCTGGTGGCGGGAGGTGCGACCAGCACGAGGGAAAAGGCCAGCAGCGGGGCGCCGAGGGTTACTCGACCCCGTCCCGGCGCCCCGGGACGCGCGGAAGGGGAGTGGGGGTGGGTGGCGGAGCTGACGACCTGCCAGGTCTGGGGGCGTGGGCTCTCCTCCGACCTCGGGGACCCAGAGGGCCTGGGACCTGGGTCCCGCCAGCGCGCGGAGGCTGTCCAGGCGGGGTGGGGGGAGGGGGCGCGGGGGGTGGCCCCCGCGGACCCCCCCCGCGCCCCCCCCCCCGCTCCCCCCCTCCCCCGCCAGGGGCTTAACTCCTCTCCGACCGCCCCCACCCCAGTCCTGTCTAGAGAAGCCTCGGCCCCACATCTGGACCTGCCCCTTTCTTCAAAACACCCCCCCGCCCCCCGTCCTGCGGCCCTTCTCCCCACCCTCCATTCAGCTTCGACCCCCAGGACCAAGTAAACACATGTCTGCAGAACCGAGCCCAGCCCGCGCCCCCCCGCCCCCCCCCCCACCCCGGAGTCTCCCCTCCTGGCTGTCCCTTCCCACTACCCTTGGGGCCTAGCAGGCAGGGCCACCCAAGCACACCTCTGCGGGCACGGCCGGGATCAGAACAGGGGGCGTGAAGACCCCAGGCCCCTTGGGAGCCCTCCAGAGCCCAGCCCTCTGCGGTCCCCCATCCTCACCCCAGGGGTCACCAGCAACCCAAATGCTGCCCCACTCTGAGCTGGTGTCCCTAGCACTGGTAAGGAGACACAGAGGGTGAGTACTCTGTCCCGAAGCTGAGTAAGCACACACCGGCAGTTGGGCAGTTGCCCTCAGGAAACCTTGCCTACTCCCTGCTGCCCTCCAGAGCTGTCCCGAGTCTGAGCTGGGTCACTCCGTCCTGCCCGCCCTCCCCCACGGCTCCTCCAGGAGGCCTTCCCAGGTGGTGCCTGTTGCCATAGCTGGTCCAGCAGAGGCTGGCCGAGCCTTGGCTGTTTGGCAGAAGATTCCGGGTGGGGACGGGGCTTGGATTCAATCTCCATAAACGGACCTACCTGGTCCGAGGGGCTGGGAGTGTGTGGTAGAATGGGAGGGCCGACCCCGTGCGACCTGGCCTTGGAGGGACGTAGCCTGGTGGCCTCATCTGTAGAAGGGGAATAAGAAAAACTGCCTCATAGAGCGATAGTGTCCTGGCATGGCACCCTCGGTGGTCCCCAGAGGTTTTGACTGGCCGTGGCTGGGCCATCCTGGGTGTGGAACTCACTCCAGGGCTCCCCCTCCCCATTCCTCGTGCCCAATCCTGAGCTGCCTTTGTACCGGAGAGAGAAGGTCACTGGGCCCAGCTTTCTTATCCCATTGTCTGCTGGTTCTCTTAGTCTCAGAGGACAAAACTACCCCAGGGGAAGGGTGGTGGGGGTCTCATCTAAACAGCCTGGGAAGGGGCGCCTGGGTGGCGCAGTCGGTTAAGCGTCCGACTTCAGCCAGGTCACGATCTCGCGGTCCGTGAGTTCGAGCCCCGCGTCGGGCTCTGGGCTGATGGCTCAGAGCCTGGAGCCTGTTTCCGATTCTGTGTCTCCCTCTCTCTCTGCCCCTCCCCCGTTCATGCTCTGTCTCTCTCTGTCCCAAAAAAATAAATAAACGTTGAAAAAAAATTAAAAAAAAATAAACAGCCTGGGAAGTGGCAAAAAGCCCTGTCAAACGGGGGGGGGGGGGGGCTCTCCCAGCGGAGGGATGGCACATTTTGAGGGCCGTGACTGTGCCTCCATATCACCCTGGGACTTTTACAGAGGCGGGGGGATTTTCCTCTGTGAAACTGTAACCTCATAACCTCTCCTGTGAGCCCGGGGGCTCTGTCAGCACGAGGTTATGCTTCTGACATCGGATGAGGACTCTCCCGGGATCGGGAGCTGGGCCTCCCCCGTCAGAATGGGGCCTCCTCAGGGGCAGGGGCTGTGTCCGTCTGGTGCCATGGCTCACTGGAGAGAATTCTCGACCATCCTTCCAGATGCTGAGCGGTAGCCAGAGACGGGACAGTGGGGTGAGGAGATGGGGGCGGCCCGAGTGTCAGAGGGCGAGATGGGACCACGGCACAAGCCGGAGTATGCATCCAACCCCTAGAGTAAGACGGGTGAGACATCACTCGGCCTCAAGTCAGCGGAAGGGACAGGCAGGGAGTTGAGGCTGCTGGTGGGGGACACAGTGACCAGAACTCCTGGGTCCTCTGGGGACGGGGCTGTCACTGTCCTCCCAACTCCCTCCACAGGTCATCTACGGCCAGGATGACGGTCCTCCCGGCTCCGAGGACCCGGAGCGTGATGACCACGAGAGCCAGCCCCGGCCCCGGATGCCTCGGAAGCGAGGCCACCTCTCACCTAAGTCCCGCCTCGTGGCCAACTCCACTCTCCTAGGGCTGCTGGCTCCCCCGGGGGAGGCATGGGGCGTCCTTGGCCTGCCCCCCAACCGCCCGAACCACAGCCCCCCACCGTCGGCCAAGGTGAAGAAAATCTTCGGCTGGGGTGACTTCTACTCCAACATCAAGACGGTGGCCCTGAACCTGCTCGTCACGGGGAAGATCGTGGACCACGGCAACGGGACCTTCAGCGTCCACTTCCGACACAACGCCACCGGCCAGGGCAACATCTCCATCAGCCTCGTACCGCCCAGTAAAGCTGTAGAGTTCCACCAGGAGCGGCAGATCTTCATCGAAGCCAAGGCCTCCAAGATCTTCAACTGCCGAATGGAGTGGGAGAAGGTGGAACGGGGCCGCCGGACCTCGCTCTGCACCCACGACCCGGCCAAGACCTGCTCCCGAGACCACGCTCAGAGCTCAGCCACCTGGAGCTGCTCCCAGCCCTTCAAGGTCGTCTGCGTCTACATCGCCTTCTACAGCACGGACTATAGGCTGGTCCAGAAGGTGTGCCCAGATTACAACTACCACAGCGATACCCCCTACTACCCCTCCGGGTGACCCTGGGCAGGCCACAGAGGCCGGGCCGGGGCTGGAAGGACGGGCCTGCCCGCGGAGGAGGCCATCTGGCTGGATACTGGGCAGGGACACGGGGAGGGACCTCAGGCAGGGAAGAGGGGGGTGGAGAGAAGGAGATGCCAGGTGGGGCCGGGGCCAAGTCTCACGTGGCGGTGGGGAAGGGGTCCCAAGTGCGGGGCCCCAGCCTGGGGTTGTGGAGCGGCCGGGGCATAGGAGCACTGGAGGAGGAGTGGGGTCTCTGGGCAGCCCCGCGGGGCTCCCCTGCTGAGCGACAGGAAGGTGCTGGGCCCAGGAGACCGCTGGCGAAGGCAGACCAGTGTGGCCAGATGAGGTCACGGAGAAGAGCCCGAAGCCTCGGCTCCCTCCTTGCCATCCTGAGAAAGAACAACAAGGAGAGGGGTCTCTCATCAGCAAGGGCACCGAAGGATGGCAGAGACGAGACGGGGCTGCCCGGGAGCCAGCCCTGGGTGGGGGGAGGGGCGGGGCCGGAGGAACTCTTGAGCCCCGCTGAGTCAGCCCCCACCCCCCCTGCAAGCCCATTGTCCTGGACGGTGAACTGAACTTGGCTTCAGGCTGAAGTGGTGACCCTTGGAGTCGTTTTGACGTCTTGACCAATAGACCGTCTGCTCCCCGCCAGGCCGTAACCTTTCCAAAATTCCCTCTCCTGCCATTGCCGCTCCTCCCCCCCCGCCGCCCCTGTCCACCCCTGTGCCGATGGGTCACCCATCCTTCAGCTGCAACAGAGGGTGACTGTGGTTCTCCCACCACCAAGGCCACAGATGGGAGCCCACCCTTGCGCTGTGTCCCCTCGCCACCCCACCCCCCTGCTGGCTCCTCCGGGAGCGTCCACGTCCAGCCAGCAAGCCTTGCCCGTCAGCCTGGGACCCACCCGGATGGATACAGGGCCTTCAGCAGCTCGGGGCCGCGTGACGCCAGACTGACAAGGGCGCTGGACCTGTTCTGTGGTGTCTGTCTGTGGGTGGGGGAGGGGAGGGCGGGGTGGGCGATCCCCTGATTGTCAGCTTGTGTGCAGAGTCTTGTTCTGGAGCCGGGAATAAAGCTTTCCCAGGGCACTGCTTTCTGAGCTGTCCAGGGAGGGAAAGGGCCCGGGGTGCCCCGCCGTCCAGCCAGCGCTGCTCAGCTAGATGGCGGCAAGATGTTCCCTGGAGACCAGAGCTGCTGGGGCTGGTGCTCACGGAGGGCCTCAGGGCTTCCCTCCCCAGCCTCCTTTTTGGGAGCTGTTGGGAAAGCTGGGTAGACGTTGCTCGGTGGTCCCAGGGGGTGGGGGTGGCCCCTGCAAAGCAGCTTGGGGAGGAAGAGCTGGTGGGGGGGGGGATGGGCCATTGTGTTCCTTGTCTCCCTGGGTTGCCATCTGGGTGGGCGGGGGCCCTCGCTCTGTCAGGGTTTGGCCCCGTGGCCTTGGACAAGTCCATTCTCCTCTCTGGGTCTCTTTCCGCTTCTTTGTAACATGAGGAATATGCCCAACCCAGAGCTTCTCCCGTGCGAGTGGGCATTGGACCCACCAGGAGCGTCGGTTAAGACATGGAGTTCTGGGTTCCAGACGATTTGCCCTTCTGGCGAGGAGCCAGGGAGATGCCGACACTCCTGAGGGGACACCCTCTGAGGACCACTCACGTGACCTCTCTGTTCCTCTCTGGCTCTGGCCCCCTAAGATGAAGAGACGCCTCTGAGGCTCCCTCCCGACTACCTTCCAGCTGCTTCTCCTAGGAAAATCTCCTGGAAGGGTCCTCTCAGAGAGGCAGGGTGTCGGGCTTTCCGTCTGATCATGTGTCAGTGCAGGAACAGGCTGGGTTGGGGGGGAGCGGGGACAGAAGGAGGCTTGAAAGGGATGGATTGTCAGCCGGTGACGCCTTGCCCGGGAGGGCCAGCCGGGCCCTTTGGGGCTCGGTGAGCGGGATGCTGAGCCCCGAGGACCAAGATCACAGGGCCCTCTCTAAGGTCATCCTCGAGCTGCTCGCTTGGGAGGGCAGCACTCAGGTCCCCTGGGTCCCTCTCGGCCATGCAGCCACAGCGAGGAAAGTCCTAGCATGAGAGGGGAAGACAACGGTCCTGCCGCCCGCAGCCTGTCTCCCCTGCCCGCCGGCACTCAGCACGGCCCAGTGCTCCTCTCGCTGCAGAGCAGAGCTGGACGAGGCCTTAGAAGCCACCTTGCTGTATGAAGTGACCCAGAAAGGGCACATGACTCAGGCTCACACTCCTTATGGCAGCGTTCCCCTGCACCGTGCCTCCCGGGGGCCACCTCTCCTGAGCAGAGATCTGAGACACGCACCCCTTCTTCCCCGCCCCCTCCCACCGCCCCTCCACCATAGCTACACTCTCCCTTCCCACCCTGACAGGTGGGTGGGAAGGTGGCACAGGTCCTTAGAATTCAGACAGGCCCTGCCCTGGGGGGGCTTGCCTCGGAGATCTGGTGGGTTCTCTCACCTGCGGATGCCTCCCAGACGCAAGCACCGCCTACGGCCCTGTGGGCACTGGAGGGAGAGACGGAGGGGGGTGGTCCTGGGCCCCCCTCACCTGGCCCTGGCTGGACGATCAGCAGGACCGGGGGACACTCTGACCCACCCCCCTCCGGCTCTTCTTTTGTGGAGAGCCAGATGCTGCTGACAGCTGGAGGGCTGGCCCGCTTGGCACGCATACGGCCTGAGCAGGGGGGGGGGGGCGGGGGGGTTCATTTTAATAACTTCATTTCACCCACGCGCACACTCCGCTGCCTCATCCCTCCTTTTCTGCCCTTCCCCAGTAACCTGGCTGCTCTCCTCGGCTAGGATCTTGCTAATAGATTTTTCTGCCGGATTGTGATTCTCTTGCAATAGACCTCTGGGCCCTGATAGTCTTGCCACCACCAGATATTTTCTACGCCCCCTCGGTCCTCGCGAAGGTAAGGCGTGTGTCCCACTGCCTCTGGTGACGAAGGTACCAACCTCTGCGCCCTTGGCGAGCAACGTCTGTGACCTCCCCCAAGGACTACAAAAAGGGCTCTCCGGTCGCCTGATCTTGCCGTTCAAGCACTCACGGGAGAGCAGATCCCTCTAGAAGGAGCCTGTCTCCTCTCCCAGAGAGAAGCTCCAGGTCCTACCCCCACCCCACCCCTTTGGCTCCCCCACCGCTGCCCGTTCGGTCCTGTGGCCCAGCTCCCCATCCGCCCCGCCTAGCTGGGGAGCTGCCCCAGGGCAGAGGCCTCGTCTCCTTCATCCGAGGGGAGCTTCTGGAACAAGCCTCCCAGACTGGATGCCCTTTGAGGTCACAGCCCGTATCTCCCTGTGAGACTGAGGAAGCAGGGTCTGTCCCTCTACAACTGACTGAAGAGCCCTGTGAGGACAGCATCCACCTCTCTCATCTGCCCAGAGGCTCCCTGAAGGCAGGAACCGTGATATGGACACGGGGAAAGCTGGCCTTCGGGTCTGCCCTTCGGCTCTGTGCACCGTACTGCCTCGGCCTCGGTGTCCCCACCTCTGAGGGGGTGAACCTTCCCAGCAGTCTGTGGGGCTCATGAGGGGCTACGTGTTGGGTCGAGTGGCAAGGGTCTAGGTCCCTCCTCTGTCCTCCTTCCTCCTCATGTTTCCTCCCTGGGATGAGTAAGCGGGGACTGAGTCACCCCCCTTCCCCATCCTTGGCAGGGATGCTGGTGACCTTGCATGTGGCACTCTCCTGAGGCGAGGCCCATTGCTCAGAGATGCAGGAGGCAATGGGTGGGTAGGGAAGTGGGGGAAGGGTGTGTATGGGGGTGGAGGCGGCTGAAGGTCAGGGGGTGACCAGGGACCTGGATTATCCAGTCGAGTAGGTGTAGGGGGCTGTGGGAGACGCAACGAACCGGTCGCTCTGTGTTGGGAAGCGATCCAATGCCACGGCTGGGAGTGGGAGAGAGAAATGTTACTTCCACAGAGTCTGAGTCCTGTGGTCCTGCAAGGAGAACCGGGGGCTGGGGTCACAGGTGCAGAGAGGCGCCACCAGCCCCTCCCCCCCCCCCGGGAGGAGGCAAGATCGGGCGGGGGTGGCACCTGCCAGTTATGCCAAAGCCCCGGAGCGGCAGCTGCCCCCATCCTTGAGCACGAATGGCAGAAGAGACCTGGTGCTCAGCCGTCGGGGGCTGGGCTCCCGTTACATGGGGGGACCCGGTTTCCGGTTGGCCTGGCGAGCTCAGAAGCCGACCGGAAAATCCAAGCGACGGATGGCCACTTCGAAGCGTTCCGGTTCGTCCTCTCGGGGCCACCTGGCTAGATGGTCCCAAAGGGCGAGCTGGCACCTCCTGAACTTGCCACTGCACTGGCAACATGTGTGGTGCAGGAGTTTGGATCTGCGCAGGTCCCGGGTCTGTCACTCATTAGCTGGGTGGTTTCGGACAAAGAGCATCAATCATCTCCCAGATGCCCTTGGGTGAACACCTAGGGATCTACCCACCCTGGAGCATCGTTAGGAAAAGTGAAATGATTCACTCGACAATATTCCTTCCTCCTTCCTGGGTTTTGGGGCGTGGGGTGTACGTTAGCTTCAGCCTTTCCCTGGGGGAGCTGGGCGAAATGGCCCTGGGCTGGGCTGGGAGACCCGGGTTCCTGGCCTGGTTCTGTCCTGTAACACCCGAGGCGGAGCCCGCTAACTGTCCTGTGATATACATTGCACCTTTTCCCATAGGAACGGAATCCTCCGTTTTTAGCTGGGCCGAGGGCTGCCTGAGATGAAACACCACATCTCTCTCTGCCTCTCTTGCGCCTAGATGTGGCCATGTGACTGAGATCAGGCCAGTGAGGTGTAAGCCAAAGGTTATTTGGCAACTTCTAGAAAGACAGTTGATAAGACAGCTCTGGCCGCCATCTCAGACAATGGGCGTCAGAGTCACATCCTGGAAGGGTCCGAGCAGCGAGCGAGCGGCGGCGGGGAAGCCTTGGGTCCCAAACACCTGGTGCGAGGGCGTATTTTGTGCACCGGAAATACCATACGGGCTCCAGGCTGCCCACCTTCAGACTTTTACGTGAGAGAAAAATCAAACTTCTGTCTCATTTAGGCCGCCGTGCTTTGGATCTTTCTTACAGGTAAATCTATCACCACCCGACTCAATGGATGTGTCTGAGCAGTTCCCGTCTGTGGACCCGTTTCCTCATCTGTAGCAATGAGAGAATGCGCCCAGACCTTGCCGCGCACGGGAGACGTTTTAGGGGCTTGCAGGCGACAATGAACTTGGGAAAAGCTCCGGTCCTCCCCCGACTGCCTGCCGGGCACGGAGACACGCAGTCTCCCCTTGGGGAGGTGGAGCGCGTCGCTTTTGCATGGCGGGGGGCCCCTGGAGGGCTCAGAAGGATTCTCTACTCCCTCTGAAAGGCCTCCCGTCCCCAAATCCAACCCCCGCACGTCTTGAGTCCCCATCCACATTCTGATGTTGGTGACACACAATCCTCGTTAAGGGCCTGGCTGATCCCAGCCAGATGGGATCCTAATTTAATTAAAACCCTTTAATTACCTGCAACAACACAGCTTTGGAAGTCCAGGGCAGGAGGGGCCCGGGGACGGGAGGGGAGAGGGCATGGCAGGGTGGTGGCTGCCCTCCCACCACTCAGTGAACCCCGGGCTTTCGGGATGGTTCTTCCACCCGGTGGACACAAACCGCACGGAACAGCCGGTGCGGCCTCTGCCTCTGGCTCGGTCTGCAGCCAAGCCGGGGAGCCGGGCCAACCAGGCCCCGGGTGGTGGTGGTGGTGGGGGGGGGGGGGGGGGGGGGGGGGGACAGGCGGGCAGAGTGGCAGGCTCTTGAAACCCACGCTCTCCGTGCTGGTTTTGTGCTTGCACTGGGACCGCCACAGGCCGCCTGAGCCCAGGCCTGAGCTGCCGGAGACCCTGGCCCTGCCCAGGATGCTCTGGGTAAGAGCAGGCGTGGTTCTGTTACCTCCCCAAACGGCCCGGCTTCAGAAACCGGGGTACCTCCACGTCCACCAAAGGAGAGCCATGCCCCTGAGAACAAGGGTCTTTCCTCGAGGTGTCATCCACCCCGGGGAGGGGAACGCGAGCGAGTGGCTCAGGTGGGCCACAGAGGGCCACGTCGTTTCCCGGGCCCCAGCAAGGA